AGACAGTCTACCTCTGTCCCCCCAGGCTGGAGTGCAGTGGCTCGATCTTGGCTCACTGCAACCTTCACCTCCTGGGTTCAAGTGATTCTCGTGCCTCAGGCTCCCGAGTGGCTGGGACTACAGATGCATACCACCATGCCCAGCTAATTTTTTTTTTTAGTGGAGACAGGGTTTCACCATGTTGCCCAGGCTGGTCTTAAACTCCTGAGCTCAGGCAATCCACCTGCCTCAGCCTCCCAAAGTGCTGGGATTACAGGCATGAGCCAAACCATGCCCGGCCAGATTAATGCTTTGTTTTTTGTTTGTTTGTTTTTTTTGAGATGGAGTCTTGATCTTGTTGCCCAGGCTGAAGTGCAATGGTGCATCTCGGCTCACTGCAACCTCTGCCTCCCAGGTTCAAGCAATTCTCTTGCCTCAGGCTCCTGAGTAGCTGGGATTACAAGCATGCACCACCACACCTGGCCAATTTTTGTATTTTTAGTAGACACGGGGTTTCTCCATGTTGGCCAGGTTGATCTCAAACTCTCGATTTCAGGTGAACTGCCCACCTGGGCCTCCCAAAATGCTGGGATGACAGGCGTTAGCCACCACGCCCGGCCCAGATTAATGTTTTTATGCCTGCTAATACAACATCCATTCTGCGGCCCACGGGTCACAGAGTAATTTGGATTTACAAGTCTTATTATTAAGAAATACATTTTAAAGGCTATAGCTGCCATAGATAGTGATTCCTCTGATTAATCTGGGCAAAGTAAACTGAAACCCTTCTAGAAAGGATTTACCATTCTAAACGCCATTAAAAACATTCTTGATTCATGGGAGCAGATAAAAATATCAACATTAATAGGAGTTTGAGGACGCTGATTCCAACTCTCATGGATGACTTCAAATGGTTTGACTTTAGTGGAAGAAGTAAATGCAGATATGGTGGAAACAGCAAGAGAACTAGAAGTGGAGCCTGAAGATGTGACTGAATTACTGTAATCTCATGATAAAACTTTAGTGGATGAGGAGTGCTTCTTATGGACAAGAGTCGTTTCTGGCCAGGCACAGTGGCTCACATCTGTAATCCCAGCACTCTGGGAGACTGAGATGGGCGAATCACTTGAGGTCAGGAGTTCGAGACAAGCCTGGCTAATAGGGTGAACTTCACTGCTATTAGCCTGTCTCTACTAAAAATACAAAAATTAGCCAAGTGTGGTGGTGGGTTCCTTTAATCTGGGCTACTCACGAGGCTGAGGCAGGAGAATTGCTGGAACCAGGAGGCAGAGGTTGCAGTGAGCCAAGATGGCACCACTGCACTCCAGCCTGGGTGACAAGAGCGAAACTCAATCTCAAAAAAAAAAAAAAAAAAAGAAAGAAAAGAAAAAAAAGTGGTTTCTTAAGATGGAATCTACTCCTGATGAAGATGCTGTGAACACTGTTGAAATGACAGCAACGGATTTAGAATATTAGATAAACTTAGTTGATAAACAACAGCAGAGTTTGGGAAAACTCCAATTTTGAAAGAAGTTCTACTCTGGATAAAATGCATCAAAGAGCATCCCATACTAGAGAAATCTTTTGTGAAAGGAAGAGTCAATTAATGCGGTGAACTTCACTGCTATCTTGAGAAACTGCCACAGTCATTCCTGCCTTCATCCACCTGACTGGTCAGCAGCCATCGACATCGAGGCAAGACCCTCCACCAGCAAAAAGACTATGACGTGCTAAAGGCTCAATCATTAGCATTTTTTAGCAGTAAAGGATTTTTAATTAAAGTATGTACTTTTTTTGAGATATAATGCTATTGGCTATTTAATAGGCTACAGTATAAACATGGCTTTTATATACACTGAGAAACCAAAACTTCGCAGGACTTACCTTATAGCAATATTTGCTTTATTGTGGTGCTCTGGAACCAAATCCACAGGATCTCCAAGGTATGCCTGTAGAATGGTCAGGATGTGGTGAATCATATACGGGACAGGGAGGAGTTAAGGAAGCACCCCAAGTTCTGGCTCAGGCAAATGTCTGCTATGAACTGAACTGTCTCTTCCAAAATTCATACCCCTAATGTGATTGTATTAGTGATAGGGCCTCTAAAGAGGCAATTAAGGTTAAATGAGGTCATAAGTGTGGGGGCCCTAACCCAACAGGACCAATGTCCTTATAAAAGGAAGAGACACTGGAGATATGTGTGAAGAGAGTAGAGGCCTGGCCTGGCGCAGTGGCTCATGCCTATAATCCCAGCACTTTGGGAGGCCAAGGTGGACAGGTCACTTGAGCTCTGGAGTTCGAGACCAGCCTGGGCAACAGGGTGAAACCCTATCTCTACCAGCCAGACTACCCAACGCGTGCTAGACTTGAAACTCAGATACCATGGCAGTGTGATGGGTCCTTTGGGACCAACAAAAAACCAACTTGCTGCATTTTTTAAAAAGTGTTCGAAGTCTCCGGCTGCCAGAAAAACAACTTTAGTACAAAAACTGGAACACTCTGGTTTCAGGCAACCCAGTATCTCATGGGTGGAGAAAACAACAAACATGTACACATATCACAAGCAGTTTATCATTTAAGCTTGTTTGACCACTACCCCATTTCCTGTGACTGAAAAGTTTGGGGAGAAGAGAATCCTACTATCAATGATGACCATCTCGGATTAGTACCCCAGGAACGGCTGTACCAGGGGCTTGTGACCACCTCCCTAATGTTACCCAAATAGGAACCATAACACCTCTCATCTGAACAGAAAAAGCAAAAGGGGCTCCAGAAGGCAGAAAGCTCAGAGGTAAAGAAGGTGCTCAAGCCAGCCCACAGGCACTGCCATTGAGCTAATTCTCTTTAATCCTGTGGTGTCTCCTTCCCTATGTCGTCTCACTGTTGATGAGGACATCTCTTTGGAATGTTTTATTTGTGTATAAAACACTTCTGCACATTTTAGACCTGTGCCCAGTTACCAGGATGCCAGACAGGAAACTGCAGAGCTTGACGGCCAAGCCTCCTACCAGAGTACCAGCAGAGCAATGAACATCTAGCTGGGCCACTATTCCCACAATTTCTGGAGGCCCCGATTCCATATTCTCTGCTTCCTTATTAAGTGGCTGGGTGGGTTTGGCAAGCAGAAATGAGGTGTGTTAAAAGCGCAATGGCTGCAGGGACTGGGTCCTGGCACATTGGGTTCCAAGTTGGGGCTCCATCTGCATCATGAGTGCCCCCACCACAACCCGCCTCACTGCTGTCACCACCTCCAAAGGAGGCCGAGTCCTGGAGGTGGGCTTCGGCATGGCGACAACAGCATCAAAGGTGCAGGAGGTCCCCATCCAGAAACACTGGATTGTGAAGTGCAATGACAGCATCTTCCAGTGGCTCCAGGACTGGGCCCAGCAGCCACACAAGGTCATCCCCTTGAAAGTCCTGTGGGAGGAGATGGTGCCCACCCTGCCAGGTGGTCGCTTTGATGGGATATTGTATGACAAGTACCCACTGTGGGAGGAGATGTGGCACACACACCAGCTCAACTTCATCAAGAACCATAGTTTTCACCTGCTGAAGCTGAGGAGGGTGTCCCCCTCACCTACTGCTACCTCACTTCCTAGGGGCAGCTGATGAAGTCAAGTACTCAGGTGTCACCACCATCCAAAACACAGGTGCCTGAGCTATTGGAGGCAGACCTTCGGGGGAAGAACTTCCTCAGAGCAGTGATGGCGCTGGTCCTGCAGATGATCACATCCGTGGTCACCAAGCCCTGAGCCCTCGCCAAACAGCCCTCTGCCACCCCTCCTCAGTACCTTCATGGCTAGGAGCTCAGGCTCTGGCTTGTCACAGCCCAATAGCTGACCCTGGCTGTGTCACTGGGCAGCTTTTCTGACCTCTACAATGGAAACACTGCTGCTTCCCTGCCAGGGTCCTGGAAGGCAAAATCAACACTAACACTGGGCTTGCTCCTCCCTCCGTCAAAATAAGGGCAAGATGAACTCTCAGAGGAACAGCAGCAGGTAGAGAGGTGCCAAGGGTCAAGTGTGGAGAGCAGACTCCAAATGAGAATGCAGCAGAGCAGATGACAGGATGTGCAAGTCAGGCGTTCTAAGATCTAAGTGGCATGAACCACTGTGCCCAGCACTCTTAGGCTTTTTGAGAAATATACTTTCCCCAAAATTTCCATAAGATTTGTTCCACCTAGGTATTACCCAAAAGGATCTGGTGATGAAATTGGTGTGGGTATAGGCTTCCTCACCATGGACTGCTTGGAGACCTGAATAATCAATTTCCAATGAGGATATGGGATGCAGGGAGTGCCACATTTATTTAATAACAGAACCCTTTTCCACAGAGCATCTGATAGGGGGTTTCATGAAACATACTTTGGAAATTAAAGTGAACTCTCCACTTGGGCATAATGTTATGTGAGCACATGGACTGGCTTAAAGGGGAAATGAGAATACTTCAACATTCAATCAACAGTAGGCAGCTGCTGGACATTTTAGAAAAAGAGAAATCCATTTTTTGACCATGGCTGAACATGGTGAAACATCATCACATTTTCCTGAACCACCCTAATCCCAGCCCCTCAAGATCTAGCAGGTATGCAACCCCACACCCCACAGTCACATACATTAAATCACACTTTTATTTTTTTGTAAAATGTGCTTTTTCCTCAATGAACTTTAATATCAGTCCAGGACCTCCACTTCCCCTTAGACAACACACACACACACACACACACACACACACACACACACGCACACACCGCCCTCCGCACACACACACCCCACTTCCCTTTAAACAACACACACACACACAGCCCTCCGATCAGGTGAAAAATCCCCGGTGATTAGTCTATAACAAATATTGACACGAGGGGGAACAAAAGCATGTTGAAATGTATTAGAATCAGAACCTGTACAAAAAAAAAAAATTAAAATATAACCTGAAACTGTTCAAGTTCAGAAGTCTAGTTAAGTCCTTTTCTCTTGCCAGGAGAATGCCATCATCAGAGGGCTCTGGGTCATCACCAAGGAGGGTTGGAAAGATAGACGGAAGCAGCAACAGGTCCTTCAGCAGACAGAGGGGCATCGGTGCCACCATCCCTACCCAGGTGGAGCCAGGAGGAATTAAAGATCTCAGGAGAGAGCAAGCATTAGCCGGCAGCCCCAATGGGCAGCTGGGGTCTACACACCAAATACAAGGCTGAGTAGTCAGAGGGAGCAGGAAGAGTGGCCAGGAGAGAACACCAAGCTGGAACCACTTCTGCCTCCCAGCAGACCCACAGCACCCTCTGTCTGTGCTCAGATAGCAGAGGTTAGTCAACCCAGCACTCTCAATTAATCGGGGATTGAAGGTGGGCTTAAGAGGCTGAAAACCCGTGGGTTTAGTAAACATAGCCCAGCATCACGTCCCTCGATGGCCTGAACTGGAGCTGCCAACAAGAAGTGAGGCAGAAAAGGGAAAACAGAGCATCTTAACGCCTGGCTAGAGATCGCTGCACCATCATGGGGACTGCGGTATGAGGTGCTGGAGAGGAACGCCCCCTCCTCACAAGGGGAGGGGCCTCCTTCACAGTCATCCCTAGGGGCTGGTTAAAGCTGCCTCCAGCTTGTAACCAGCCTGACAAAACGACATGGAGCAAAAGAAAAACTGGGAGGGAGACAAGCCCTTACACAGAGACAAGAACCTCCTGGAGGGAAGCTGGGCAGTGTCTGACCCTGTTGGGATGGCATTGGCGGAGCCCCTGAGTCTGAAGGAACAACTGGGGGAGGAGGGAGTGGGTGAGGGGGATTAACAGTTTTTCTGGAACAGTACCAAGAGGGTGGGGAGGCGCTGGTGAGGGGACGGGCAGGTCTGGAACTCACTGCAGGTAGAGAGGGCAGGAAATGGGCCCTTGGTGTCCCCTCCCCACCTGACCCAGGCCTGGTGAGTGCCAGCTGCCCCAGCCGGCCCTAGTGGCGGCTGGAGACCAGACCTTTCACTTTGGACATCTTCTTGGTGGGCTGCCTCTGCTCAGCGTGAGGGGGACACTCCCGTTCAGCCAGCTGCTGCTCCATCTCCTGAGCCGAAGAGGATGCGGTGGCTTTGAGTGTCTTCTTGATGTTGGTTACCTGGTGGGGAGAGAGAGAATTGTGTGCTCAGCCTGTATATGCTCACTAAATCTTGCTCTCATTATGTCTTCACTTCAGACAGAAAGCTAAAATCCTCTGCAAGAAAACCTGAAATGAGCTTCAGAAATCCAGATGAAGGGAAACAAGCCTGGGCTATTCACAGATAAGTGGAAACGAGTCAAGCAAAAACGTGGGACTAATGCTCTCCTGGTGGAAACAAGTGGAAGGGACCATTTGGCAAAGAGGCACAACACTAACAGTGAAACAAAGTAGTGATTAAAATGTCCTCAGAAAAAAAAAGAGGGGCCCAAGAATTCTACACTCTGCTGCTATTCATTTATAAAACCACAAATGTTTTCGTAAGAATTTTGGGAATACAGCTCCATGAACCCTTCTTGAATAAACAGATGATGAACTTCAGCCAACTAAGTGAGAAATGAAAAAAATGTAGGAAAAGTACTGGCAAAATGCTATTTCACTACTATGTGCAGCGTACCTTTCTTTCACTTAAAGTATACTCGAAAATATTTCAGCAGTTCTTGAACATTTTTCCATGTCAGAACAGATATCCTCTGTGATATGTGAATACTACTCTATTATGAAGGTTCTCCAGTTTTTTGAATTGGTTCCTAGTTTGAGTTTCAGTGCTATGCTAAACAGCCCTCTGTGTTTACCTTTGCATACCTCTGTGAACATCTATGGAAGATACTCCTAGAAGTAAGCTTTACAGAGCAAAGTGGATTTACATTTTCCACTGGAATCAGAACTGCTATATGGCCTGCTGAAAAGGGACTGTTCCAAACCTTTGTTCCTCAGCTTGTTGAGAGGAAGAAACAGCAGGAAGAGGATGGTAGTGGTAGGGAAGAAGATAAGTAACAGCTTTTTCAATTTTTTTTTTTGAGACATAATTTTACTCTGTTGCTCAGGCTGGAGTATAATGGCTCAATCATAGCTCACTGCAGCCTCAACTGCCCAGGCTTAAGTGATCCTCCCACCTCAGCCTCTTGTGTAGCTTGGACCACAGGTGTTCACCACCACGCCTGGCTAATTTTTTAAAAATTATTTGGAAAGACAATGTTTCATCATGTTACCCAGGCTGTTCTCAAACTCCTTGGACTCAAGTGACCCTCCCACCTCAGCCCCACAAAGTGCTGGGATTACAGGCATGAGCCACGGCATCCAGTCGGTTTTCTACACAGTGGAAAGGGAGTTGTCAGGGTCCAAAGTTCTGAACAGTCAGAATACCATGAGCTTGAGAGCAAGAGACAGTCCAAATGCAAACATGAAAGAATGCTATGAGAGTGAGACAAAAGCTGGGCTCCTAGAAGAGCGCCAACATCTGCAGAATCAATTTTAACTAGATCAGAAGTTGTTGGCTGGGCGCGGTGGCTCATGCCTGTAATCCCAGCACTTTGGGAGGCCGAGGTGGACGGATCATAAGGTCAGGAGTTCAAGATCAATCTGGCCAACATGGTGAAACCCTGTCTCTACTAAAAATACCAAGCGTGGTGGTGCGCGCCTGTAATCCCAGCTACTTCAGAGGCTGAGGTAGGAGAATCGCTTGAACCTGGGAGATGGAGGTCGCAGTGAGCTGAGACCGTGCCACTGCACTCCAGCCTGGGCAGAAGAGCAAGACTCCATCTTAAAAAGAAAAAAACAAAAAACAATAACAAAAAAAAAAAAACCATAACTTGTTTTCTGTTGTTATTATTTTGAGATGGAGGAAAGAGCCATGCCCCAAACTTCTGTAACCTCAATCAGCACGGTAGTCTTTCTGAAGAGAGAATGACAAGAGGACTGTGGGCTAAACAGAAATTACAGAGGGCAGTCTGGGCATGGTGGCTTATACTCCTAGCATTCTAGGAGGCTGAGCAAGGAGGATTGCTTAAGAGCAGGTCTCAAGACCAGCCTGAGCAACATGGTAGAACCCCGTCTTTCTAAAAAAAAAAAAAAAAAAATTAGCCAGGTTTGTTGGCGTGTACCTGTAGTCCCAGCTACTCAAGGAGCTGAGGCAGGACAATTGCTTAAGCCCAGGAAGTAGAAGCTGCAGTGAGCCATGTCTGCACCACTGCATTCCAGCCAAGGTGACAGAGTAAGGCCTTATATCAACAACAACAAAAAAAAGAAAAGAAAAAGAAAAGAGAAAAACAATTAGCCCAGTTAGGTGGCATACGCCTGTAGTCCTAGCTATTCAGGAGGTTGAGACAGGACGATCACTTAAGCCCGGGAGTTTGAGGCTGCAGTGAGCTACCATCATGCCACTGAACTCCAGCCTGCATGACACAGCAAGACCCACAGTGTACGTGCGTGCGTGCGTGCGTGTGAAATAGGGAGGGGCATCAGCTCTGGGTTTATCCAGTGTCCTGCCAGACCACAAAACACCATCTGGGAACCCTGAGGCATCTCACCCTCCTGGCAGCTCACTGCTGCTTTGGTGTATCTCATTCAGTGAGCCACCTGGTGAGGGAAGTGAATGATCTGGAGCAAGTCAATGGCTTGCCACTCTTTCTCTGATAAAAGAGATATTATTTGTTTTACTTTAAGCCTTTTTTTTTTTTTTT